CCCTCACACACAGGCTGTACACATATGCATGCCACATGTACACCCACATATACGCACTCATGTGGTTCTTCCAGAAGCCCTCAGGAGTTTTCTAAAATCAAATACCTACAAACCACAATCTAGAACACATATGCATTTTGCAAAGCCGTGTATGAATGAGAACCTTTAATCTTGGAAACAAAGAGTCCCAGGTAAAACCATTTATTCTTTCCACAAGTCAGTTTTCTGCATAAAAACTAAATGGCTAGGTTTTTATAAGGAGGGTAAGTGGCCCATGAAGGTTTTTCAACTGGGCCTGCTGGGGTTTCCATTGCAGCTTCGCTCAGCGAATGTGTGCTGACTCTCTCCCGTGTACCAGTCGCCATACTGTGGGCCTCCCCTCTGCCTCGGGGCTCAGCCAGGATGCAAACATCACAGAGACCACCAGACGGTGAGCACCATCCTCCTTCCCCGCCTTCAAGTCAACACCTCCTTTACACTTCTGAAGTATCCACGACTCGTGAGCTATTCAAGGGGCTCGGATGGCACTGTGGGATAAACACTGGGCTGCTAACATCAAGGTTGGTAGTTCAAACCCCTCGGCCTCTCTGAGGGAGACTGATGGGATTGTTGTGTTCCTGTCAAGATTTACCTTGTCAGAAACTCTACATAGGGTCACTATGAGTGGGCATGGACTCGCTGGCAGTGGGTGGTTTTGGCTTGGGGGTGCAATGCTTAAGTGTTCAACTACGAACCCAAATGTCGGCGCCCCAGCTCCATGGAAGAAGAGACCCCAGGACCGGAGCCTGAGGGGCAGATCTCTGTCACATGGGTTTGCGATGAGTCGAAATCTACTCTGTGGCATCAGACAACAACTTGAACTCTTGGAAACGACATCAGCAATTTCTCCCCTCACTGATTGAATGGCATTCTGGCCCCAGTGACTTCAGTCTCTCACGCTGAAGACCCTTCTTCCAGGATTTGCCATGAACAAGACACCGCCATGCTGTCGGGCTTTGCAGGCACTCATTGCATTTGGGATGGCTGGAGTCATAGGACACGAGGGAACAATTTTCTCCTTGAGAATTCCTATGGATTTTTACAAACCCCACTTGGTGATCGATCACACCCTCATGCTTCCCTCTCTATTTACATCGTGACTTACCTGAAAAGCACATTTTTTTTTTTTTTTAAAGAGGAAAACATCCTATTAGCAGAGCTATTATCAAGGACGACGGAGGTGGAATGAATGAATGAATGATCGCAGGCCACTTGACTTTGCCACATGTAAGTGTCACAAAACTCGCGGTGAATGAGAAGTCATTTTCAGAGAGGTCTGTTGAAGGTTAAAAAGAACTCACTTTTGAGCATTGATCCCATCAATGGCTTGGATCATCCTTTCGTTCAATTCTTCTTCAAACCTTTTCTTTTGCGATTTGGTTCTACAAAGACAATGAAACATTCTTGGTGAGACTATTATTATTCCTAAAGCTCTGGTAGCGTAGTGGTTACGAATCGGGCTGCGAACCGGAAGGTCAGCAGTTCGAAACTATCAGCTGCTCCGCGGGAGAAAGATGAGGTGATCTGCTCTCGTAAAGATTTACAGCCTCGGAAACCCTATTCAGAGTCGCTATGGGTCGAAACCGACTCGACAGCACTTAACAACAACAACAACAAAGCCAATTGTAAGGTTTTTTCTCTCTGATGCCCAAATTTATTTAATCCTGGTCATAAGCACAGAAAAAGCAATGAGGACAGCTGATGAGAATGTGTAGTCACTCTGTGTACTGAGGGGACCAATGAGCACTTGGGGCTCAGCAAACATGGGCCTTAGCGCTTATGCACAGTGTCATCATTGCAGGCATCAAACACAGCGCTGTGGGCATGCGTGCAGTGTGTGGGCTCTAAGAACCTAGTGCTTGTGATGTGAACGCTCTCTCTGCCGAGACATGCACGGAGTCTTGACTGGGTGCCTTCAGAACTGTCTTTTCCGGTGGGCCCCATTGACACTGGAAATCCCCTGCACACACTCTGTTTGGTTGATCAACTTGCCATTTTTTGTTTCCTTCTGGTTGGTTTTCCAGAAATTTGCAGAACTAGAGTCTTATTTAAGGAGCTCTGGTAGCATAGTGGTTACAAATCAGGCTGCCAACCTTAAGGTCAGCAGTTCGAAACTACCAGCTGTTTCGCAGGAGAAAGATGAGGCTTTTTGCTCCCGTAAAGATTTACCGATTTGGAAAACCTGTACAGGTCACTGTGAGTCGGAACCGACTCCACGGCACATAACAACAACAACCACAACAAGAGTCTTATTTAGGGAGCTCTCGTAGTGTAGTGTTTACAAGTTAGGCTGTTAATTTCAAGGTCAGTAGTTTGAAACTACCAGCAGTTCTATGGGAGAAAGATGAGTCAGGCTTTCTGCCCCATAAAAATCATAGCCTTGGAAACCTTGTACAGGGGCGCTATGAGTTGGACCCGACTCCACAGCACATAAATAACCAACCAAGCAGAGACTTACATAGGGGCCCTGGGGTACGCAACAGTTAAACACTCGGCTACTAAAGGAACAATGGGCAGTTTGAACCCACCCAGTGGCTTTGTAGGAGAAAGAGCCAGTGATCAGCTTCCCTAAAGATGGCAGCCCATCAGGCCCTACGGAGCAGTCTGCTCTGTATAATGTGCAGGTAGCTAGGAGTCAGAAGTAACTCGACAGCACTTAACAACACGTCTTATTTCAGGTATTGTTGCTGGTGTTTAGTGCTGTGGAGCCGGCACCGACTCACAGCGACCCTATATAGGGTTTCCTAGGAGCAGCTGGTGAGCTTGAACGCCCGACCTTGCAGCTCAAGTCTACTTTGCAGTTCAGCGTATTAACCCACAGCACCACATCAGAAAGTTGGTGGAAGAATTGGTCTCCAGGCATTCTTGGGCTGCTATCTAGGCTACAAGTGTAGCAACAATGATTGTGTGGCAGGTGTAGGACCAGCTGTGCAGAGGCCGCTCTGTTGGTCCTGACACGATGTCATGTAACAACAACAACAGTCAAGCTTTGGTCCCTCTGACACTTGCTCGGCTCGGATTTGCTGCCCTTGTCCTGCTCTGGGGCCCACTATCTGCCTGCTGCCATGCCCACCGCCATCTTTCAACGGTCCTCACTATGCCATTCCACTTCATGAGTGGCCATTGTCTCCACAGAGCACCGCCTTCTCAGTGAATGTTTCAACAGGCCATGAGGCCATCTGTTGGTCCGGTTGGTATTATGGGGTCAAGAAGGGCCACCAAGAATCCTAGGCAGGTCTGACTCATAAGTGGCATTCTCTCCATGAGGCCACGAGGTCACCAAAGACTAAGCACCACAGAGGAAGTTGGGAAACAGGAGGTAGAAGGCCAGGAGTGCAGTGGTGGTTTGGGATCACCGAGATGACCACCCAGCTAGGTCTTGGTGCTGCTGGCCTTATTGCTGTTGTTGCGTGCCACGGAGCCGATTTTGACTCATAGCTTTGCTATAATCTTTATGGCAGTACGTCACTGGGACTTCTATGGGGCTTCTGGATGGATCTGATCCGTCAACAGGTCAGTTAGTAGCCAAGAGTTTAACTTGTCCTGCCACCAGGGCTCGTGGCTGGAACTGGGGCTCTGGGTTGTTTTTGCAGCCATTTGTTTCTGTCAAAGGGGATCCAGGCAACAACTCTTCCCAGAAGGCTTTGCCCAAACATACTACGGGGTGTCTACCATATTGATATAAAAATAGACCCGTGAAGCGGAATTGAGGGGAAGGGTAGAGAGATAACAGAAGAGGTATTAAATTTCAAGTGAAAGGGTATGCATGGAATGTCCACGAAAAGTCCATGAAAAATCTCTAGAATGTTGATGGAATGTCTATGAAAAGTCTCTAGACTGTTCATGGAATGTCTATGAAAAATTCACTGAATGTCTATGAAAAATCTCTAGAATGTTCATGGCATGTCCAGGAAAAATCTCTAGAAATGTCCACGAAAAATCTGTGGACAGCTGTCCTGGATATTCTTGCCTCTTAATGGCCACAGGACTCACGTACCCTTTGGCCCATAATATTCCTAAAATTGGCTAAATTTTCTTTAATATGCTATATGCCACTTAAAAAATAATGCTGCAAAAGTCCAAGAATCCAATAATTTGTACAGCAAAGGACTGCCTAATTCTCACAGCTCTACAAAGAAGTTCAGATGTGTGGCAGGACAAATACCGACATGTAGGCCGATTCTGGAGAGCTGTGCATATCGCCTGACTTCATCAATTACTAATCGAATCGTGTTAATTTTCTTCTCAAACAACATATATTATGTGGGGCCTTGTCTTTTCCCATTGTCCCTCCAACATGACTGATAGCGCCAGTAAAGTGTCCTGTTGAGTTCTGGATTGTTCCTTCGTTATCCTAACGTCCTCTGTATGAAAGACCTTAATTTCCAAACCAAGAAAAAAGTAAAACTCTTGGAGCAGCACCCAAAAGAAGACCTCATGGGCGCAACTTATGGTGATGGGTGGCCAGTGTGGACATTCTGCGGAATTCCTCCTTTTAGCAGGAACCTTTCTTTTCACCTTAGAAAGGCTGGGCTTATCTGGGATTGAATGCCTGAATGGTGCCAAAAGTTACCACTCTCAGCTGTGAACCATAAAGCTGGCAATGCCAGTCCACCAAGGTGCCCTCCAAAGAAAGGCCTGGGAATGTACTTCTGTAAAAAAGCGGCCACTGAAAGCCCTATGTTGTTGTTGTTGTTGTTATGTGCCGTGGAGTCGGTTCCGACTCATAGCGACCTTGTACAGGATTCTGAGGCTGTAAATCTTTACAGGAGCAGAAAGCCTCCCCTTTCTCCCACGAAGCGGTTGGTAGTTTCGAACTGCTGACTTTGCAGCTCGCAGCCCAATTCGTAACCACTACGTTACCAGAGCTCCTTTATAGAGCAAACCATTCTCCTCTGACACATACAAGGCTGCCATGAATCAGATAGCTTGCTTTATCTCTCGAACTCAACATAAACATGTGATATTTTAAAGAATATATGCGTTTGAAGAAAACCCTGTTCTTCACTGCACGTTACTATTCACAAAAGTCTGTTAAGAAAACAAAGTAAAGTTCTACAATGTGTACTGGGTGGCGTGCTCCCATTCTGAAGTGTAGCACGTGACTCTAACAATCCGATGTTTACAAACAGAAAGCATGATGGCGGGGCTTTGCACAAGGAGCTGCTCTGGAGGACAAACAGCCTCACAATGACCGTAACGGGTAACAACAACTTCACAAGCAAATGAAAACGAGGCCTTTAAGAAGAGATACTGTACCTTAAAGTGCGATTTTGAAAATTGTGCTGACCCATGGGTACGTCCTATTAAAAGAAGAAAAGTTATTAGTGTCTAAACACATATTCCAAGGGGAATTTTGCAATGGTAAGAATGTAGACCATTTCGTCTTTTATTATAAAAAAGTGTTTTATTTACTGTGGCAAAATATATATAATATAAAACCAGCCATCTTAATCATCTTTAAGAGTCCGATTCAGTGGTATCACGTCACCATGTTGTACAACCCCAGGTGTTGTTGTTAAGTGTTGTCAAGTCCGTTCTGAGTCACAGCGACCCTGTGTAGGATTTCTGAGGAGCGACTGGTGAGTTTGAACCACCGATCTTGCAGTCGAGTCCTTATCCTACGGTGTCACACTATTTTTATCCAAAACATTTCCATCCCCCCACAAACAGAAGTTCAAAACCCTTTCAGCAACCACGCCCCAGACCCACGTAACCATGTAACCCACTCTGATCTCTATGCAGCTGCCTGTTCCACAGAGTTCACATAAGCGAGATTACACAGTATTGATTCTTTCTGTTTGCTTTCCCTCAGCTTCATGTTTTCAAGGTCTGTCCTTGTCACAGGGTGGATCAGCGCTTCACTCTCTTACGACTGAGGACTAATCACACTCCGTGTGTGCACAGACCACATTTCCGTGTCTCTTCATCTGTTCACGGGCAATTGGGCTGCTTCCACCTCTCTGCTTACTGAATAACGGTGCAGTGAATACCGCTGTTTTAGTATACGCTTATGTTCCTGCTCCTAATTATTATGGGTCTAGCTCTGGACCGCTAACTGCAAGGTCAGCGGTTCAAACCCACTAGTCACTCCTTGGAAACCCTATACAGGGTTGCTGTGAGTAAGAACTGACTTGATAGCACTTAATGACAACAAATGATGGCACTTGACAATAACAACATGGTATCAGATACCTCAGGAGCTCTGGTGGCATACTGGTTACAAGTCGGGCTGCTAATCTCAAGGTCAGCAGTTCGAAACTACCAGAGGTTCCACGGGAGAAGGATGAGTATTTCTGCTCCCGAAAAGATGTGAAACCTTGGAAACCCTGGTCCACAGGAACTTGTCAGATGGGCGTATTCTCCAGCCCTCCCCAAACCCTTCAGGCTTGGCCCTGAGCCCTCTGACTTAGCGTGCCCTCCAGGAGATCCTGATAGGGTTCCAGGTGAAGACCCTCTACTCAGTAGACAAGGCCGAGGACTGGAAAAGGTTAATGTTTTGTAGCAAGTGTCCCAGGTGAGTGGCTTCTCAGGTTCCTGAGCTGAAGTCCTGCCTGAGTGTGGCAGTGGAGGGCCTCCAGAGGTTTTCACAGTGATGTCTTAGTGCTGGGCACCTGGCTCTCCTGAGGGTGCTGGAGGCCACAGGGAATGATGGGCGCTGTGTGTTGCTAATGGTGTCAACTGCAAACTGAAAGGCTGGCATCTGAACCAACCATCACCTGCATGAAAGACAGACAAGGTTCTCTGTTCTCCGAGCGATGACCACTTAGGAAGCCTCCAGATCAGTCCTACTCTGTCCCACGGTGTCACTGTGAATCAGCATCCACTGGATGACACCTAACAACAGCATGGAGACGCTGTCCTTCACATCTGGTCAAAGTCTTGTGTCACGTACTAACCCAACGACTTCAATCACCGCAGGCCCCGGCGTGTTTCTCCTCATCCGCCAAGGAAAACGAGGTCACTTTACAATTTCTTTTTGTGCTCAGCTGCTTGCCTATGGTTGATGTCACTAAACCTGGAATTATGCTTTGAGATTGTCATCAAATCTAACAATGCAGCTGGAATTGTTCTCTGTGCTTAGCTGAAATAACTGTTCCCTTCTCCTGTCGGTGTATGGAAGGAACCCTATCATCCCGTGGCTCAAGCGCTCAGCTGCTGAGAGTCCTGGTTTGAACCCACCAGCAGCTCCACAGGAAGAAGAGGGCAGTTCTGGAAAGTCCATGGGTCAGTTCTGCTCTGTACGTCACGCCTGCTCCATCAGAACCAACTGGCAGCACAGGGTTTGGTTGGCTTATGTGTCTATGGATCCAAACTTCCCATAGTGTAAACATCGTCCCATAGTGTAGACAACTCCCATAGTGTAGACAACTTCCCATCGTGTGGGATAACTTCCCATAAGGACACAGCAATGCTTGGCTCTGCTGTACCCTAAGGCTGTCATGAGCTGGGACCAGCTTGGTGGCAGCTAACAACATGTGCCTTTCTATGTTCTCCTCCATCTGGGCCATCTTATCGCATGCGTGCCTGGTACAAGGGGCGTCTGTTTTATTAGATGCTGGAAGCAGGGCTCCTTAAGTAAGAGGCACAGTGGACTACTGCTCATTCCCTCAACACGTGGATTACCAACTCCAAGAGCAGATTGCTTTGATGTGTCTTTTCTAAGGTTTTCAAGACTTTCTACTTCATGAAAGACAGAATAAAAAAAAAAAAATTAAAAAAAATAGCAACAAAATGGTTAAGAAAAAACTTACAGCTGTTTTCAGTAGGCACTTCCAATTGTATATAACCCTGTGTGTTGGTTTCAAAAGTTAAGATGCAAAATTAAGATTAGTCATGGTTTTAACCCACAGGACTTCAGGCCTAATGCCCACTAACACCCCAAAAGGTGTGTGGGAACAAGAAAAGACATCTTACTTTGACTTCTAAAGGTTTCTCTTGCCTTTGAACCTCCAACTGCAAACGTATGAACTTGGGTTTTTTTTTAAACTAGAAATTGCACTGCAGGAGTGTAACTTTGGCGTTCCTGATGAGCAAAGGGGGGTGTTGGTGGCGGTTTCTTGTCATTGCTTAGCTCCTCCCTTATAGCAACCCTGGGCATGTAAGGGGGAAACACTGCCGTCCTGTAGCCACCTCCTAAATGCTGGTTATGTCTGAGCCCGTGGTGCTGCTGCTGTGCTAATTCATCTCCTTGGGGGTCTTCCTGGTTGGCGCTGACCTTCCACTTTTCCAAGCATGATGTCCTTCTCCAAGCACTGGTGACAACAAAGAATCAGAGACAAAGTCTGGCCATGCTCACTTCTAAGGAGCAGCCCGGCCATACTTGTTCTACGACAGATTTGCTTTTTCTTGTGGCAGTCCATGATTTTTTCAATATTCTTCTCCAACACCATAATTCCAGTGGATCAATTCTTCTCCAGTCTTCCTTACTCCTTGTTCGATTTTCACATGCATATGGGTAATGCATGGGTAATGTAACGTCCATACCAAAGGGCAGTCAGTAACAAACCCAGTACTCATGATGTCATGAGGTCTCTTAGCTACAAAATGCAAAGAGCCAAATTTTCAGGAGTTACTTTGTAAACACTGACTTGGTAATGAAGTCTGAGGTGCTTCTGAAATTTTCTGGAAAAGTGGAATGAAACGCTGAGAGCCTTTTTCCAGGAACTTTTGGAGCTGCATCATGCTTTGTCTCCTTGGGCACTTATACTCATGAAGCACAAAAACCATGTGAAGCCTTCAGTCCTGGGGAGCGCTGATCTCCACGGGGAGACTTGTGCTCCCCTCATTTGCAAATTGTTGATTGAATTGTACAACAATAAAATACCGTATTATTATTTTGGGCTCATTTGCAAGTTGTTTTGTTTTTGTACAGTTATGACCCGCCTACTTTGAACGACTTGCTCTTAGAAATGATAGGACCTCCATGCATGTAGAACAGAGAAAAGACAGATGTTAAGGATTTCACTTTACTTGAATCCAAAATCAATGCCCATCAAATCAACAGTGGGGCAATGGAAGGACACATGGCATGGGGCCAATCGGCTGCACACAAGCTCTTTAAAGTCTGAGGACTGAGGAGCATCTGACCCAAGCCAATCCTGCTGTCATGCTATGGAATTAGCACTGGACTGCAAACCACAAGGTCAGAGGTTCAAAACCACCAGCTGCTCCTCAAAATCCCTATGCAGGGTCGTTATGAGTTGGAAATGACTCAACAGCATATAACAACAATATATGTGTGTGAAAGTTGGACAATGAATAATAAGAAGAATTGATACCTTTGAATGAGGTGTTAGCAAAAATTATTGAATGAACAGATCTGTGTTGGAAGCAGCACAGTTAGAGCTCCCCTAGAAACAACAATGGTGAGACGCTGTCTTACGTGCTTTGGACATGTTCTCAGAAGGGAAGAATCCTTAAAGAAGGCCATTGTTGTTGTTGTTGTGTGCCGTGGAGTCGGTTCCAACTCATAGTGACCCTGTTCAGGGTTTCTGAGGCTGTAAATCTTTACGGGAGCAGAAAGCCTCATCTTTCTCTTGTGGAACAGCTGGTAGTTTCGAACTGCTGACCTTGCGGTTCGCAGCCCGATTCGTAACCACTACGCTACCAGAGCTCCTTTAAGGCTTGGTTAAAGTGAAAGATGAGCAAAAACAGAGGAAGACCCCCAACGAGATGGCCTGACACAGTGGCAGCACCAGTGGGCTTAAACATGGCAGTTGTGAGGAGGGCTCATCCTATTGTGCACAGGGTCACTATGAGTCGGCATTGTCTTGAACGGAGTCCTAGTGTGGTGCTGGAGGATAAGCACTGGACTGCAAGGCTGGCTTGAACCACAAGGTTGGCGGTTCAGACTCACCAGTCGCTCGTTGGAGACCCTATACAGGGTAGCTATGAGTCAGAACCGACTTGACAACACTTAACAACAACAACTAGCAGTGTCCTACTTGGAGTCACTGGTTTTTAGAATCATGTGACCGCCATGCTTGCATACAGAATGAGCTTGGAGTCAATCTTCGAGCTCAGGTTCTTTGCGCTTGGATGATGTCCATCAGTGTGGACTCCAGGGGACAGCAGGGGGGCACATACCGTGGTGCTGATCTTGCCATTCTCGGTGGTCATGCTGTCTCTGTGGTGCAGGTGAGCGAAGGGCTTGGCTGCCCCCCAGGACTCCAAGTAGCGGGTCATGCGCACAGACGCTCTCATCTTGGCTCCATCCAGGTTGTGGCGAGGCCGGAAGAGGTGTTGGGGGCTCCGACGTTCTCCCTGGGGATGAGAAACATGCTCTAAAACCAGATGGGCCAGGGTGTACCTGAGTCCTTCCCAAAGGGGACTCAACTCCATGCCCCAGGACGCATTGGAGCCCGTTCCACACAGAAGAGGCCACAAGCAGCCTCCCGCCCTCCACCCCCCAAACCTCCCTTGGGCTAGGCTGACCCCTCTCACTCCCCCTACCAGCTTCTACGACTCCTGCCTTTATTCCTTCAGGGGCCCAAGCTATCTGATAGGGTGTAAAATTTAGGAATGATAACTGTCATTTTCAGGGACATGTTCACAAATTACAAACTTGAATGGAATTTATTCATGTTTTATTTTTCCCTGATGGCTGTGCCTTTTTTTCTAAAGGAGGTTTCGTGGTCACATGGGTTAAACCCTAGGCTGCTAACTGAAAGGTCATTGGTTCAAAACCACCAGCCGTGCTGCAGGAGAAAGATGGGGCTGTCTGCTCCGGTAAAGATTTACAGCCTTGGAGATCCTAGGCGCAATTCTGTCCTGACCTGTGGGGTGGTTATGAGTCAGAATCAATTTGAGGGTAACCAGATGTACTAAGGAGTCCTGATGTGGTGCTGTGGGTTAATGCGCCAGATTCCAAAGCCATTTGCACTGCAAGGTCGGCGGTTCAAACTCACCAGCTGCTCCTTGGAAACCCTATACAGGGCCGCTATGGGTCAGAGTCGACTGGACGGCATTCAACAACACCAACAGATGTACTAAATTATGCTGATTACATTACACAGAAGAAGGCCTGGTGGCACAGTAGTTAAGTGCCTGACTGCTAACTGAAAGAGACGTTTTTCAAACCCAGCAGGCACTTGGCAGGAGAAAGACGAGGCTTCCATAGAGATTTACAACCTTGGACGCCTCCCAGGGCCGTTGGATTCTGTCTCATAGGGTTGCTATGAGTGGGAATGCATTTGATGATAGTGGCTTTAGGACTGGGTATTTTTCTCGAGTGAGGGGTCGGAGACCATTTCTCTAACGGCAGATGGTGTCACGTGGCGGCACGGTATTATCTTTGCTTGAATACACGCCCTTTGCACCGAGTTTTGGAGTTTCTTTCCCTGGTGATTTTGCTGTGACACATAAACCAGGAGGCTTCAGAAAGTTGTTGGAGAAATTCCAGTCTCTCTGACTCCTATTTCCCACAAGCTGACTGAAGACCCCTCACACCTACCCAGGTTGGTTGTCGAGTGAGTTGGAAGTTTAGCGTCCCCTGGCCAGGGTCTCATGGGCACTACCCTAAGGACAAGTCCAGAAACTGGATTCCCTTGGTTTTGGGATTTGAGTTTGGACCTTTCTGGGCACTTTCTTACTATTTGCACCACTAAGAAGCCGTGTGATCTTGGGGGGATTTATGGAAGCCTTCTGAACTTCAGATTATGAGTCTGTGAACATGGACGATGCCTCTCTGGCAGGACTTGGGCAGGGCCGGCAGATGGCTCTGGTCTGACACTGTACATGGACCTCCTTGGTACTGACTGGTACAGGTAGGATCGTCACTGAGACAGGGTCAGCGTTTGCCAAGTGATGGAGGTTCTCACTGCATATGAGTCTACTACATCTCTGTTCATGCACACACATATCTGTGAGAGTTATTCATCTTTTACACCTTTCTTCTGTGACCTTTCTCCTACGTGTCCACTGTGTCTATCTCCTCAAGGGCTTGGCCAAGATCAGTTCTCTTTAGTTCATGTTTCTCCTGCCTAGAACTCAAGATGGTGCCTTGGCCAGCCTTTCAGAAGCATCCTCCACCGATTCACACACTCAAGGACCCAACATCCAAAACCTACAGTGACAAGTGGTTCAGCTCAGCTGTACTTTCATGAATATGTAAATAAATGTTTACAAAGGCTTGGTTTCTTCTCCTGTATAATGAGACCACCACATGCAACTGTTATTCTAGAGGCAAAATCTAGTAACGGATTATGGAATTACGCTGCTTCAGTATTAGAAACACTTAGCTATGTAAGTAATCTGCCCTTCTTCCCCTAGTAACCAGTCACCATCATATCAATTCTGACTCATGGAGGCCCCAGAGTACCAGGGTCAGTTACAAAGTCTTGCTGCTTGGTTCCAGCTCATGTGTTTAAACATGGCTCCACGATCCATGGATGGCTGCCAACAAATTCTCTCAGCAATACACCTGACTTAATTTCATTAGGGTACCTTCAAAACAAAAAGATCCAACTGTAACCATGGCTTCTGAGTGGGTTTTTTTGGGCGGTTTGATTTCAGGGCGGGGGGTTTGGTTGGAGGCTTATTTTTTTGGATTCCAAAGGAGTTATCTTGATAGCTTTCTTCAGTGGACACAGGATGGTTACAGGGGCTTATTAAGAAGAAGTTTTCAGAACACGGAAAACTGCCTTAGTGAGAAAAAGGATAGGAAAGCTATGCTGAGGAAATTTCCCCCCTCTTCACAACAATGCATCTGCTCGTTCTCCAAGGATGCCCAAGGAATTTTCATGGGAAACACTGCCCCATACCCACTCTATAGGCTTCAGATTTTTTGTTCCCTCAAATCAGAGAATAGTTTAAAGGAACACAATCGGAGTCCCTTGAGGAGGCCTAAACTGCCGTTCTGATGTGGTTCGTATCAAAGAGCACAGGATTCTTGCGGGAAGGGTCAGAGAGATGGAGCACCACCTTCAGAAGTCTATAGCGGAGGACATGTTGGGAAGTAATAGCTTTACACTTCGATATTTTTCTTTAATAAAGGATTCTATGGTTTTCTAGCTATATTTAATGACTGATCCTTACAGAACTGGATCCCAGAGTCTCCTATGACTGATTGTATTTTTTTTGGAAGTAGACCTTCAGGTCCTTCATCCAACATGCCTTTGGGTAGACTTGAACTGCTGACCTTTTGGTCTGATACATGGTGGGTGGTACCCTCTTCACTCCAACCCTAGGAGAACAAAGCTCCTCTCAGACTCATTACGGCAACACTGACCTTGGGGTTGATGACGAAGTAGGTTTTCACCAGGTGCTGCTTTAAATATGGGTCTCTGATGTCACCGTCTCCCTCCTCCACCTTGTAAGCGCCGTTCAAATGCTCCAAGGTGACAGAAGAGATGTGGACACGCCTGAAATTCCATTTGAAAACCAGAATCAATATGTGCAGAGGTAAACGTGACAGGAGGTGTTCTGTTTATTTCTTGAGACAGGATTTCTTCTCCCCCAAATGAACGGGCAAAGCTCCCTTATGCTATGGAAACATACAGCAATTTGGAAGGATGTTCCTAAATGAGCTCTCAGGAGCTACTGATATCAGAGCTTCCTGGCGCTCACAGGACCCACACGGATGGTGTGTGGACTTTCAGCACACTCATCTCCATGCCCTGGGGGGCTTCCGTCCAGGAGACTTCCTTCAGACACTCCCGACAATGGCGTTTAGAAAGCTGGCTGACTGGTGAGAAAATATAGCTTTTCTTCCTCAACGCTTGCTCCTAAGTTCCTCCAAATGACAGCGTCTGCCTCGAGACTGTCTTGTCTGAACAGACACTCGGTTAACAGACATGGAGGTAGCATTTGCTCAGTGAGCCCTGGCTTTAGAGGGCTCCCAGACTACACTGCACATCTTCAGGTTCGTTTCTAGTCACAGATTTGCAGATGGGGAGAGTGTTTCATTGGAATCGCACTTCAGTCTTTGGTCAACGGCCACTAGGTGGTGGTGACCACGCATTCCGAGTGGGGTCAGGGTCTTC